TGTCTGATTCTTTCATGATATGTAGCTTGAACACGCTGCTACTAATACGCCCTGAACACAAAGTGGTTAGGCCTTCCACTTTGCGAAAGTGCACCAATCAACCTCCAGCAGAGCGCTATGCGAAACCGTTCTCGACGATTTTTCAAATCCCCAAATTTTGTTCAAATAGCGTTCAAACTCGGTATTTGTTCAAAACCATGGGCGTGTCTTTACTTTGGAGAGGATTACGGGTGAATTCACCAAAGGGTTTGCTTCAGGACACTGACCGAGAATGGTCCAGGAACAGTGCACCGAGCAAACCCTCAACTTCATCAATTATGACGAATGGCTCTCCAATTCTCGGGAAAGACCGATATATTTTCAAGTATGGGCTATCCTAAAGGGAAAAGTCTGCTCTATCAATTACCGAAATTTGAACCCTCTCATGACGGCGCTTTTGGAATCCTGGGACAAAATTGATGAAAAATACCTGCGTGCCACATGCATGCGTATGCCAAATGTTCAAAGAACTGTGTAAAGGCTAGAGGCGATCATTTTGAAAACTGTTAATATGTTTTGAATTGTCATCTTTTCTACAAATAATATTCGTGATTAGAATCGATTTCTGAAAGCTAGTCTCGAAATGCCAACAAAATATTGGTGCACCAGTAATTTTGCCCCTTCCTGTAGTAACGGGTGGAAACTTACTGTTTGTGAAAAGAAGCTTAATTCTCAGTCATAGATTATGCATCTTTGGAAACGTGGGTGGCTCAGCACCTTTGAGATGTGTCATCTGAGCGGCTTAGCTCCGAATCGTAGTGGTGTTTGACGCCTTCGTGGCGCATCCATTGACTAATTTGCTGGTGCAACAGACAGTTCACTTCCCTCGACAGGTGATATACGTTTTAAGGCCACACATGCTACGTGGCTCCTTTAGCCACTACACTGCTTATCCCTCAGTTCTCTGCATCCATCTCTCTCGACCGCACGTATTGGTATTACGTCTTCTGATTTTATGCATTGTATGTTTTTCATTGAGAAAAAGGTTTTGAGTTGCTGTGGCGGAAGGTTTTATGACCAGAGTCAAATGGTCCGCTTTGTTTACTACTCGTCAGCAAGATATCGATGACGCATGGAGTACATATGGTCGCGCCTTTGATTTTACACTACTCAACCGGCAGCTCAGCCTAGTTGACTTTCGGGCCAAACATGTTACTCCGTTGAGCGCACCGTGCACCTCTCTCAAAGTCCAGCAGATTTTAGTGGTCTGCTTTGCCTCTCGCCGACGCGCAGCATTTCCAGCGACAGGCGTAGGAACACAAATACCGGGACTACGCCCAGCAAGCGTGAACAACACTATCAAGGATTCTCGATAGAATCTCGTTCATGTAGCCGAAGTCAAACGTAAAACAGTCAAAATGTGCGCCCCCCCCCCTTCCTACTCCTCTTCCTCCATCCGCATTGATGGGCAATTCTTTTTTCTAGCAGAATTTTGAGCGCTCTGACATTGGGCACCCCGGCTGTTAAGTAAACAGAAACTGTAGGAATTTATAACAAAGAGTTTTGTTATTTATTCATAATTTTACATAATCTTAAATGTTACATGACTTAAGTTTGTCAATGATAAAGTTATAATTTATATTTTAACAAACTTCGAATCATTTAAAAATTTAAATTATTAAATTTAAAAAAAGTTTAAACATAAAACTCATAAAGTCACAATTTCGGACACCCCTGACATTTCTGGACATTATGGATGATGGTCGTATTTATCATGGGAGAGGGGAGGAGAGATGTTAAGTCGTAACCAGACCTCTATTGGAGGACAGATAGTGGCACTGTCGCAATATACGGGGCATCCTCGAGGACTAAGCCTAGTGGGGGCAGGAGCGCTGGGGAAATGAAAATGGCTCACGCACTTTGGAGTCTCTCCTCCCCCGCCTAAGGCTTAGTCCCGTTTTTAACAAAAAGACATGTTTTACGCGGTTTTAAATGCATTGCCATCACAATGCCCCCGTATATTGCGATAGCGCTCAGATCATATTGCCGCGGTTATTTCTTCACGTGATGTACCACGCTGGCAAACCCCACATCACTTATGTAGCCCTTTCTATGGTCTCTCACGTCCCCTATTTCTCTTTTTTGATACTTGCTTGCCTTTCTATCCTTCCTCCGTCACTTTCCCGAATATCAGAGCGAGCTTCTAATGACAAATGTGATCGTTATCAGAGTGCTTCTTCTTACGTTCCCTGACCCTGGGCAGAACAACACCTTGATTCTGCTGCCATGGTGGGAAGAGATACTTGTTTTCAATCCAAGGATTTTTGATCAGATGTAAACATGAACATTGTTCGTCGAAGGGACGAGAATAGTAAGACGAATGACCGATATTGAGCGATCGTAAACCTTGATTTATTCGATGATATGGAGGATCTACTGAAGCGGCTGAGAAATGATTTCGAAAGTTCTTCCCTAGTGTTGCCATCGCAGGGATGTTACTTGACCGTCCCTATCCTTCTATTATCTATCTTCTGCTACACTCCCAATTCATAATTCCATCAGTTTTCGGCACCTATTTCCTCACATCTCCACTTCCATTTCCTGTTTTCTTTCTGTCATTTTTGACGCCTCTTATATTTTCGGACTAGAATGTTCTTGTAGAGTTATGTGCTTAGAGGCACTTAGTCCGTCGGTGGGTATGCATTAGGGAGATGTATGCGTCTGTGGAAGCGGAAGTCAGGCAGCAAAAGAAAAAAGGTCTGGTCATTGCGGCGAAAAGTGCGGTAAACGTAGCGCAGGTAGGCTGCAAGCCTAAATCCGAGCTGCCTCGAAGTGCCGCGTCCTCAAATTGGTTTTTATGATACCGCTATGACCATTTGATTCTCTTTTCGCAAGTGCCTTCGGTCCGAAAACGGTATTCTCTGATCTCTTCGTTTGTTATGCTCTAACGGGATACTCGCTCATGCGGCCAGTGTCTAAACCGTGAAAGAGTCCAGGGCCCTATACAGGTGGGTTGGGCAGCTAACGCTTCAGTCTTCACAAATGTCCAAGTGACTGCCCTCGCCCCCCCCTCCCCTATTGGTACTCACGTCGCCCCTGTGCGTCCACGAACTTCCCTAATTCTACGTGACAGATATACTAGCGGCAAACATTTTCTGCTTTCAAAAAATGCGGCGGCAGAATCAACGGGCATTAGGAGGGTCCTGTTCTCGGGTTTTTGACAGTTTCTTTTGAGTCTTCGGTTTTGCCGCACCATTTGACACGTCTGTTTTCTCTGTTGATTGGCATTTAATTATCACACTTGGTACCTCATTTTTTCTGTAAGTGTTGATTCCTCTTACTTTCAGAAACAGAATCCTTCTTTCGAAATACCTCATCGAATCAATAAGGATTGCCTTACACATGGCACAATGGAGTACTCTGCGAAGATGCTTTTGAATAAAGAAGAACGTTGGACGAAAGCTATGAAACTGTTGCTGACGAATCTACGTGCGGCTATGGTACAGATTGCAGCACTTAGACCGAGTGGAATGTAGTAGTGATAGATCCATTTTTAGCCTAGTTGCGTTCATTTCACGGGTTCTTATCAATGTTGATACCGCCAGATATATCGTGTTTTACATTGTCAGCTCTTTTGATATTGATTCACTCAAGCAATAGACGCTCGAAGTCAAAATATTGCTCCAGAGAAATTGTTGAGTATTTGTATAGGTTCTAAGTATTTTTGTAAAGCTCATAGTGCCTCGTGTAGATATGTATGTTCTCCCGAACTCTCACATTGAGATAAAGATTTCTAAATATTTGCGCTCATTTTTTTGTGCTGAAAGTCGGTCATATTCCGGTTACTTTAATTTGACTTCTATATATTTTCACTTTGTATACTGATTTCTATTGCGATTGTTTCTTGTTTCTTCGAGTAATGATTTTGTTACAGATACTTGGAAAGTGAATATAGTTTCTCTTGGATGCCTGGATCGGAGAGATCACGACGCCGCGGTCGCGTACGACGTAGTAGTAGTAGCAGTAGTTGCGATTCGTGCCGCGGCGGCGAACGCCGCATCATTCGCACGGCAGGATTGTCGAAGAAAGCACTCAAGGAACACGATGAATTGGTGGTCAGTTGTGTTCTTTTGCTGTTTTTGAAGGTCATTCCTATTCCATGGTTGCGTGCAGAGGGTGGAGAGCTGGACCATTTAAGGTTGAAGGGGAAGGGAAGTTTGCGCTGCTGTGTCTGCGCACTGTTAGTGTCTCAACTCGTTCTTGAGTTTTTTTTCGGTCTTGCGTTCTGTGCATTGCGCCAGACAATGTTTTGCTCACCAGCCTCACACAGTGATGTTAACTCATATTATTAGAGTATGAGGGTGTGGAGCAGGCGCCCTCATGACGTTATAGATTTTGTTAAGTTCACTTTTCGAATGAGCGGGGAGGTAGGCTATTCCTTGCAATCTTTTGAATTTATTTCAGTCCGTTAGTAGTCGTAGATATTGATAATACCGAGTTCATTTTTTGTGACCGCGATCCTTTTTAGAAGGGCTTCTATGTCGTTGTTACTATGTATAAATGTTATAAGAATGCTCTTTCTCCCAAAGTCGTGGTATATGTAGTGGCATCTTTGATACACATCTCATCGATCGTAGCAGACAGACTACCAGGTGATGCGTCATATGTAGAGAAAAGGCAGTTTTTCTGGCGTCTCGGACACGGCCTGCAGAAAGCAGTGAATTACGTGCGAATCCAGATTCTCACGAGTAATGTTCATCTCTTTCAATCATTTCAAAGGCACACTGAAGAGGGGAAGACAAACAGAGAATTCGAAGAAAATTTTGCCTTTCTCTTAACTTTGTCCAAATACGATCATTCATGACAGAGAGCACAACTGGCTATGGACTGTGTAAAGTAGGTGTTTTGGTTCTATTTTCACACTTTTGGCGACCTCCGAAGCACGATTTTGAGAACTGGCTATCAATAATGTGGGCGTGAAATCAATACGTGTTCCAGTGTGCAGACTTGGTTTGGACTGGGTGAAATGGGAAGACGACTTCTTCACTTAGTTGTTTCCTACAGTTGTCATACCTTTCTCCCTTCTTGATTGCTTTCTATTTCCTATTTTCTTTGTCTGATTGTGAGTTTTTCCATGAATGGCTGTCGAGTAAAAGAGTTGAATAAGTACACGACCTGGCGTAAATGGTTAGTCGGCAGTAGAAAACCTTCCATTTATAGAATATTATTTTGTTAGCGAACTTCACGGGAAGAAATTCTAGTTTCCTTCTGTGTGGCAAACGTCTTCCCCCGTCTTGCGATAGCGCATGTGAGTGGTTTCGCCGGGAGTGGGAGTTGAGCGACCTTTTACCAACAGAGAGTATGAAAGAAAGATGCTTGCAAGCAAAGCCTTGACTGAGCGCCGATATCGACTTGCTCCTAGCCAGAGTTTATCCTTGTTTACAAGCTTATAGGCTGGTGTCAGAGTCGCGATGCGTCGCGCGACGGATCACAGAAATCACAAGTGCTCCGATCAATACTGCGAGGTGCTCTCCAATCCCGCCGCCATTTCTGCTTGATGGTGATGGTTGAATGACGACTGTTCATGATTCTACTTGTTTCATATTCAGTGTTTCAAATGTTCAAATGGGGCACTTGCGATTTTTGCGATTCGCGCGAATCGCGCGACGGATCGCGGACTCTGACACCAGCTATAGAGCTCCCTCTCCCGTTACTCTACCTGTGAATAATGCTTGGTTCTGCTAAAAGCGATTCGACATTGGTGAATATTGATTTAGTTCCTAGTTCCTATATAGATTTGCTCAGTACTTTTGAAGGTGATGTTTCGTCTTAGATAGTAGATTAGAAAATAAGCCCAAGAACTCGCTCAGTGTGTTCGCAAATGACGAAGCTTGCGATAAGAAATTCCACCCCGAATTCAGTTACCAGAAAGGCTAGAGTGGAGTGAATTTTTCCATGCTCTCGTGGATGCACTGCTTGGTGAAGCAAACAATGCTGTTGACTGTTTCACGCAGTGGTACTTTTGTTATTCACTATATTATAGTTCATATATCTACCGCATTAGTGACAAGTAGTGATGGTTTGTCATGGTTTTTGCTGTAGAAAAAGAAATTGTTGATG